ACTCCTAATTACTCCTGTCATCTACATTAATCAGAATCCCCCCTCTGTAAATTTACCAGGTCCCTCATTAAGAACAGGGAGGGAGAGCTTAATTGATCTCCCTCGCCCTGATGGGGCAGTGATAGATGTCCTTATGCCTCCATGATCTATCAGAAGTTACACTATGTAATTACAACCAACTCCAAAAAAAATCTATACACACTTATAGATTTGTGCAGTTGCAGATCTCGGACCTTATCAGAAGACACCCAAACAAAAATAATTGTGGCTCATTTTCTATTGGAATAGCAAAAAAAGACTTTCAGTGGAAGAATTGAAACAAGTGATACATGTTAGTATTACACGCATACATAATTCACCACTCAGAAGGAACTGTTACTAGCCTTGAAGTGATCAAGTTCTCCTTTTTACCTAGATTTTAACCTGGCTGAAATAGCACTAACATCGATCTTCTATTTGTTTCATTTTCCATAAAACCTACAATTTTCATTATACCTATTTTACTGTCATCTTTGAATCTGATTTCCCCGCAGTACATAAAATTCCTCAAACAATTTCTGGTCGCAAATCTGAACAATTCAATAACTGAGCATCATTGTTGCTATTTTCCCCTCGTAATTTATTTGCGACTTTCCCTTCTAAGCCCTGAAGGATTAATACCTGTTTTAGTTATTAGAAATCTGCTGATTTATACCCAGGTATTTTGCCTTTTGCTGTCTTCCAGATGATGTAAAAAGATAAGATATTGGTTTCTATCACCTGGGGATGCCAGGAAGCCAATACCATGATGAATCGTATAATGATTAGTCTAGAAAGATCGCTGTAAAAAATTCACTGTAGGCTATTTGTGAAATTGATAAAAGCAATATTGGCTATGTAGTTTAAGACTGACAGAATATATAGATCAGCCTTATCCCGGGCTATTCCAGTACATGTATCAATGTCAAGTTCACACACATCCTTAAAACATCCTATAATCAAGATTTATATGTCCACTTCAAGTTGTGACCAATGTGAGATGTGTTTTATCTTAAGAATAAGCATTTCCTGATTGCCAGGCAGATCTTAATCTTAAGACGCAAAAACTAAAACACAAAAACTAAAACACAAAAACTGAAGCATTAACACCTCAATGACTGGGCATCCACCAAATACAAGGGAACTACATGTATGTGGTCAATTTTATATTATCTATAAAATGGATCACGTTTGACACTTTTAATTCATCAATTAAAATCAAAAGTATGTAGAGTGCATACATGGTCAATGGATGGGTCCCTCTCCCACAAAGCTCACCTGACATTTTCATTTTTCTTACAACACTCCAACCTCTTAAATATTATTTACTAAAGAGTGTATTGAATTGATGTGATGAACTGATAAACATGGCTTATAATGCATAAAACGTGAACAAAAAAATCCTCAAAAACTCACAAGAAAAGATGAAAGAGTTTGAATCTAGATGGGTCTCCAAATTGTCTAGCTAGCTAGCTAGACTTTCTCTATCTGAAAATTTTCTTAAAGTCAGAATAACACCTTGTGCCATGAAAATCTCTAGCAACAGTCCCTAGTGTCTGTCAAAAACAATCTTCAAGTTTGATGTGTAATTTATGACTAAATATACATTAACACCCTTGTAAGTGTTTTTCTTCTATAATATAACATTTATTTGGTATAAAGTTTCACATACAAATAAACTTGAGTGGTTTCAACAGCTGCAAGAATTCAAAGAAAGCCAAATTGGAGGCATTTCCTTTTACAGTGTGTGAAACCTTCTATGTCAGAACCCAGGCCATGAATTAGTTCTTTGAACACCCAGAGGCTAAAATGTTAATATCTCTACAAAGCATTAGTTCAGACATTAACACACACAAAAAGAAGGGAAATGACATTTAGGGAAACTGATTAGTCCTGGTGATTTGGTGAGTAGCATTCACAGATACCAAAGTGCACCTGCTGAGTCATAATGTGTCGACAGGTTATTCTGACCAAAAGGCAGGGACAGGGAAAACAATATTACTATACTCAAATGGTACTCACAAAATCTTCACATAGTGGATAGCTAGACTCAACTGATACTCACAAAAACTTCACACAGTAAACAGCTGCATCGACTCAACTGACAAATACTTATACTTTATCACTTGATCACATTGATCCTTGTCAAAAACATTTTTTTGAAAAATGTATCCTGCAGAACTGAGCAACTTTTAATTACTACCCTAATTACTATTAAAAATGACAAACACCTTGGTTCTCAAATTCTAGTCTTCTGAAGAATGAACCAGACAATGCAATAAAAGGACCTGGTGCCATTTATACCGAAAGAAGCCTCAGTCATTTAGAGAGCAATGATCACACTTGTTAGTGCTGCTCTCAACACAGTCCTTCCTGATTCAGGGGGTGCAGATTTTATGATGAAGTCATTCCTTTGAGAGCTAAACATTAGACACTCCATCATCTTGGAGACAAGCATTAACAGTTCGTACAGAGCTCACATGAATTATGCATCAGACTAAGAAGAGAAATCAGAGTTTAACTCAACTTGAGGGAATTTCTAATTGATTTTGTTCACAGAATACCCATCTAGATGTTTAGTGATCACTTCTTAAAATGGCCGAATACTTGAGATATTTCCATAATTACATCTTGGGCAGTAGGAATTGACAGTCCTTGATCAAGTCTATCTTTGTAACCATACATGGGTTGTCAAAAGGAAAGATGGGGCTGTCAATGAGCAACAGAATTATGGTCAACTGTAGGGAAAACCGTGGATGCAGAGTTAAGATATCAAAGAGAATCATACTTAGATAATATTTGAATACTTACTTACTTACTGGTATTCGAATACAGGTAATATAGAACAATTACAGAACAAAACCCCAGCCCTCGTAAAGAAGAAGGAAGATACAGAACAGGTGGGCAGCCATCAGAGAAAATTACTGGGACTAATGCTTTATCAGCAGATGTAAAGTTAAAGGCCAGTGAGTGGGCTGGAGACTGTGTCAGGGCTATATGGCCATTAACTTAATCAAGAATAATTTCACATCTTGATACACAAAACATTTATATATCTTATTCATTAAGCAAAAGGTCATAGCTCAGAAATTAGAGAGTATTATACACCAGCTAATTGGTATGGATGTTTTTTTGCGACAAAGTTTACCACTTTACTTCAAATTCCAAAACTTGTTGGAGGAATAAAAGTATCACAGTGGTCACTCAACAGACAAGAGAGAGTTTCTATCAGACAACTGTCAAGTATCCGAATGTGATATTTACAGCCACAGACTATTGGAAAAAATATAAAACCGAGAGCAGTTCCCGCCATTACAATCAGCATTACATCCTCAGACCTGAGAACAAATGCTCGATTAGAAATGACGCAGAAAATGTGTTCTTTGTGATGTCCAGCTTTTGATGCTAGGAATTTTCTCTTCAGACAAAACCATCTCCGAAGAAAACAACACAATAAATGTAGGGGCAGGAACCTGGGTTCCGCAAAATACCATGCAAACTGCACATTAGTGTGCATATATACACAGCTCAAAGTAAATGAAAAGTGCATTGTAACTCATTAAAAGTTATTTTTAAAGTTTTAATATTAATGGACCTAAGTGCTGCATGTGCCCCCTTAGAAATATTCCAAGTTTATCATTCTCACATTAATGCTCTCTGTCTGGCTACGGTCCACTGATAAATGTGGACAGGTGGCCAGAAAATCGAGGGAGGGCGGTCAAAAACGTCCAGATAAAAACACAAATGGACATTTATAAATGAGGACTTCTAGATTACAATCACAGAGTGGGAAAAAAGCGCCCAGCTGCCTGATCTGAGACCCTTATGATTACAGGGTAATACTAGCCCCTCACTATACCCTATCATAGAAAAAATACAGAGAAACCATAAGCATATGCATATTGCAGAAATCTGGGATCAATTTTAACAAGGGCAAAGGTTCTTCTGATACCAGCCATTGAAAAATTTCCTCCCATTCACATGGCAATTCTTGATTATATTTTTATCAGAATTAAAATCAATATCCCTCAATATGAGACAGGAAACTTTTTCTATTTGTATCATAAAGAAAGTATTGATGTAGACTTTTAGATTAGTATCAGATCGTACATATGCTCCCCATGTGCACACACAGGTGTTCTGATCTGAAACGCACCATATAGCCTGGAATAAAGGTGTGGAATACTGAGGTTATGGCAAATTGGAAATGAAAATAAAACCATCTGCTGACAAAATCCCACTTTTATCATTAATGCACATCCTGGCTTATTGCTCACTTTGGTACGCTTTAATCATGACAAAAATTCTGCTACACTGACACCAGACAAGTAGTGGCTTGTACATCATCTAGAAGTACATTAATTAATTATTTTTCAGTGAATTTAATGTAGAAGAATTATGTGGTATGTAAAGTGTAACAATTACCATCACGCTATTCTCAGGAAGATTGTTACAGCATGTTTTTCTCTGCTTCTACAATGGTTAATATGACTTGATGCTTCATTACAAAGTGCTTCGTGCCACAATAAAGATTGGGAATCAATAAAATATAAATTAGACCCGTTAAAATCCATGAAAAATAATGATTCATGTTCCCACAAAGTCTTAAAATAATAACTCCGATGGCAGTTCCGACGCAGGAATGTATTGCGATTCGGGGAAAATGTTTTTCCTTGGCTTAGTCTGAGTGAATAGAAAGTGTCAATAGCTATCAGAACTCATCATAAATATGGAAACACATCAAGAGAAAGCGTAATCACCAACTCAATTGTTTATCATTCACAAAGTGATGCATATAAGCTCCATTTAAGATCTATAAGATAATCATCATACAATCAGTTATATTTCTGTACAATTCAATTTAGTCTAGATGTCCTTTTACTTGTATGAAAATAATCTGGAAATCAATAACATTTATTGTCAATAAAACCCAGCAGTGTAGGTGAATTATCTTAATCATGCTTTCTTTTTGGTATTTTCAGTGAAATTTGGAACACATAAACCATTACCAAGACGTAGAGAGGAGGCAGAGAGAGAAAACTATAAAAGGCAAAACGATATATGTAAAAGTAAGTATGAAAGAGGTCTAGCAAACTTAATACATAAAAGTAAGAAGGAAAAGATACACCAATTCCTGTAAAGTGTCAGCATCAGCTGTGACAATTTAATAAATAGAAATGTATTGAAAACCAATCTAAATCTATCATCTCCTTTACCCACAACTAAAACAACTGGCACTTTAAGGGTGTGTTGTGTTTTGTTTGTCTGTCTGTCTGAGAGGACAAAGTTTGTAATGTCTATCTTGTGTATGACAAAACAAATTCTTAACTAGAATAAATGAACACTGACGATGTGATTTAATTTACTAGCTGGTTCTCTATGCAGTTCTGCCAGGCCACCAGTCTACAATACCAGTTTTTTACAATCCTCATCTAATTTCCTATTTAAACCATCCCATAATTCTAGTACGTAGTTCACCACTTTCTTCATTACATTTAACCAGTATTAAATGAGTAAGATTTCCTTCTTCTATGAATATTTCATCCATTTTACATTGATCAGACACAGAGAAACCTAGCTACATGTAAAGTTTTTTATCTTTCTTCTTTGTCCACATCTATTCTGAGGTGTCTTTTTTATGTGCCAGTTTTACCAGTAAACACATAAAATCAATCTTCTCACAGCCCTGAAGCCAAAAAGAGAATTGTATTGTCAAAGGGATTCAGACTGTGTCTAGCATTTGAGCAAGGATTTGTTGTGCTGGCCAATCTTTTTCAAAAAAAATAATTTTAAGAAACAATGGAAACTTCTCTTTGTTGTTGTTCTTGTTTGTAAAAAATAAGGCAAAAATTCCTTCTCCTTGAAGAAAAAAAAAATTTTTTAATGATATTTTCAAACTATGGACTCCTCGTAAGAATTGGCTAAAATTTCAGAGATCAAATGTAGTATGTACAAATTTACATGATGAAGGAAAATACTTTTCTTCTGCTTAGCAATCTACATGCATGTTACATGTAGTAATACTGGTATTGAAGTAATTCCATTTTTGTGAAAATTCATAAACCCTTTAGAGTGCATGGGACCAATATAATGTAGGCCGGGTTTTTTTGCAGGAATATAATTTTTTTTTCAAAATCTAAAGAACTGCTCATAAAAAGTAACTCAGGTGGGCATTGTGGCCCATGGGTCTCTTGTATTTTTAATTTCCATTGATAATTATTAAGTGTCTCATTATTAACTAAGCTTAAATATAATTTATGTACATGACTCATTATCTGCACAGTCCATTTTTTTAATTTTTCACTGTGGATTAATCTATCATTGACAAGCAAAAGATTTTAGATATAAAAACTGAGAAATCTTGATGAAGCAGAACAACAAAACATGGAGGGGTTTCACAAAAATTAAAACTACGATAAAAGATCACAAATACAAGGACTGGGGTGGAATTGTCCCCCGACATTTTGGGTCCACGTGTCAGGTCAATAAAATAATAATCCCCAGCATCTGTGACTTCAATCCAAATCCTCAAATCCCATAATGCATCACAGGCTTTTTATCTGTGAGGGAAAAAATCATGTCATCTACCAAAATCTCATTTTTCACGGATGTATTTGTAAATATTCAGGGGACTCGTAAAGATGCCATCATAAGCAAGTTCTGAGGAAAAAATCCTTTGTCTGGGACAGCTGATGGGATCATAAAACAGTTGTAAGACTGAATCTCTAGCTGTCAGGATTGTTAGAATACTAATACCTGATTATGTAAATAAGGCTTCCTGACCAAATGAAGCTTTTAGGATAGTCAAAACCATTTTAATGACATCAACACTGATATAATGACCTTTCTTAAAAGATTCTCAAAAACTTCAAACCATGAACCAAGCTGATGGATTCCCAGGAAAAGAATCTTTCAATGGCAGTTAATTTTATTTTAATTAGTGAATTACATTTTGGGAAAAAAATTAAAAGCTATATTTTCTACTGCACACAAAATTCTTGCAAACTATGACAACTACTTTTTTATATATAAATAATGCACATCTGAAAGATCCCTGGGATGTGGAAAATTTGTTTTTACTTCTCCATCTTTTTGAAAGTTTTAGCAAGTATTAAAAATGACAGTTTTGAATTGTGAAAATTGTTCTTTGTTTAATTAAAATATTCCTTCAGCAGAATTGAACCAATGTGTGATAATCAGAGTTCTCCATCATCTTTATTGACTGGATAATCATTTATTTTTCATGACTTTTTTCCCCCAGATATTCTTTGAAATAAGAAACCCCTGTCACATTTAAATGTTTATTTGTAATTTGTCATCGAAACTCATTTGAACCTTATAAATTATACACACAAACTATGTATTTCTATCTAATTTGTTCCTTAGTTTTTCCTTCCAACCAAAGGAAAATGAGATGATTATCTGGATTTCTTATGCATCTTTGATATTCTCTGATAATGTATCAAAATTCTTATCTAAGATCTGAGATCTGAGATGCTGGAACAAAATACCCTGGAAACAATAGCTCCTGGAAATATTTAATGGAAAACAGAAAATTGTTGATGGTAAAAACTTGTTTGTTTGATCTGTAAATGTGAATTAGCAGCTCAGAAATGAAATGAATGCTTTGGAAACTTAAAAGAGGTCATTATGCCTATAGCTCTGGGCATATTTTGTCCATTTTCTTATGGATGGTGTTTCATCCATTAATTCACATTGAGTAAATTCACCTCCATATCTGAAGAGCTATAGATACAGCTTGACTGGGATATGAGACAGTCTGATGTTTCTTTGTCACGTTAGGATGTCACAGGAAAAAGAAAGAGTTATTAGTAAAATACAGGGCAATGTGATATATACAAGCCTATATCAATGTCTGCTCTACTGGAATAATACGCCATATTCCAAATGATTTCCTGTCCAAGCCACCATATCTCTCTAAACTTCACTTCATCTGCAGCAATCAGGTCTGCCTTATTGATGGACTTTATCTTGTAAACTATCTGATCTGAGATAGCATTAGATAAATGGAATATATACTTTTCATTCATCCAAGATCTTTCTCCAATTTTCTGCTTGAAAAATTTTTTGCGATCAAGTGAAATCATGGCAGCACCAATTAACCTTTATAGAGGAGAATCTGTTTTTATGCATATATGTACCATCCAGAAAATATTGGATCAATAGTTCTCCGGGGAAAAATATATCTAATTCTTTTGATCAAGAGAATTAATTATCTGAATTTCCTAATGACATGCTACACTGTATAGCTTTTCCAAAGGATTTGAAGTTTTTCATGTATTTTTTTTTCTCTGGAGGTGGTGATTACAGTTATATAAACTCCCAGTTGCTTGATCATAAAATATCAAATTATCTTTTACCATGTATCCCCATTACACAATCTACCCTCTGACAGTGCCTTTCAGTTAGTGGTAATTCAATCAGCATTATATCATTGGCAGATTAAAGTATCGCATTAATAAAAGTCTACTGTCTGAGAACAAGGAATTATAGGTATAAATAGAACTTCCTCGTAGTGTTAATGAGAAAAAAAAAATCGTAAATGGTGAATTTTTATAGAAACTGCTTTTTAAAAAAAAATTCTTGTTGTCTCTTAACAGCTTGAAATATCTATGACATTTTCAATTTAATTAAATATTTTACTGATTCTAAAGCTTATTTAACTAGTACATGTATTCCATAAGACTCCAGTCATAAGATAAATTACCCTAAATATCAACTTTCCAGCTGGAATGTCCTGACCCCTGGTGACCTGTGACCCCTACACAACCCCTGGCATTTGCCTCCAGCATCTTTATCATTTTTATCAGTTGCTATTTCTAAAAAATTAAGAGACCGTCCTTTGTGAACTATCTGTACTTAGGATCTTAATAGAGTGATGGAATGTCTGAACACAGGCTGATATATACATCTCCAGCTGAGGAGAGAAACAGCTGATACCGATTCTTCAGGTCACTTGTAGTAATACTACGGCTATGGATTCCCTGTTATTGTTTCTGTATTGTGTCAGCCTGATTTTGTTATGCCCCCTTTCTTCTGTCATCGTCCTTTCTGATCTTCAGATCTCTCCCTCATTAACCCCCCATACTGTTATGTACACAATGATAATGGCCCCCCACACCAGTCAGGCTATAGATACATCACCGTTCCCATACAGCATCTACAAAGTATGCTACTGACCATCAATAACCCATCCATCATTTCATATTTCTGGCACTAGCACACACAAGCAGCATTATCAAATAAGTATCATGGCAGCTTAATTTGCTCATTAAGTCTCTCCAACCCAAGCTACCACTTTATTTCGATGACCAACAGTTCATAAACTCTGTGTAGCATGTTGCTCAATTCTCTATGAAGTTAGCAGTCATAGCCATAAAACTTGTAGTAGGAGAACCTGTTTCAAGTTAAACAGAAGTAAAATCTGATAAGAAAATCCCTGGTCATTTGAAACAGCAAATGGGAGATAATTCATCACAAGTCACTTTTGCTCTAGCAATGGGAGGTAATCCATCATTGGAGGTGGTAGCTGATATTTAGCAGACCGATCTGTTCTGAACCTGCTTTTAGATAAAGAGTGTAATCTACTGATCTGCTTAGAATTAATCACTTTAATGTGAAATGTTTATGAAGAATGTAGAAATGATAAGAAATTATATTGACCTATAATTTGTTTCTAGTCTCAGTGGGGTTGTTAGGGTGTTTAGCTGCATCTGTCAGAAGCATTAAATGGTGCAGTGGTGCTGCAGGGGTTTGTTCACAATCATTTCACTCAAGGAGGATAAATCAATACCCCTGGATGCTTCTTCTTCCACTTGTCTTAACAAGTCATTTATATTCTCATTTTGAAAAATAACTTGAAAGCAAAGTGTCAGAATATGAATTAGAAATTACACTTTGAGACGTGATCCTGCTAGGCAACCAATCACAAAAAATCCGCTAATTTTAGTTTTCTCTAACGTATTTAATGAACAATGTCAGTCACTGTAGTGCATATGTTCCAGGATGCCATTTTAATTTCAATATGATGCATAAAAATAAATAAAAAATTATGTAATCTATTTCACTGAAAACTATTTGAACTTGTTACAGTTTTTTTTTTCTACAGACAGATATTTTTCCAAGTTTCTGACATTTCATATCCTTACAATTCCTGTTGATGACATTTATTCCAAGAGATTCAACTAATCTTTGCCTCCAGACACAAGACACAATAGAAACCTCAAAAATTATCTCAGCTCTTCAATCTGACAACAACCCCTCCCTCCTTCCAGAATTTTTTTAGCTTGACCTTTCTCCAGATGACAAAGTTCACTGAGGTCAATCTCTCTTTGTAGCCATCACTGGTGTTGGTCTGAGATGCTGGGGACATAATTTATCAATTACTAATCTTCAGCAGGCAACATCTTTTGTTCTTTCACTCTCCATCAAACCCGATCATGTTTTTAATTGATGGTGCTTCACGCACTCAGGACAAGTGATCACCTCTAATTGAATTGCTGTCTCCTAATGACAAAGGATTCATCTCAGATTGGAATGTTACACATTATCTGCCATATCCTGATTGCTTAATTCCCTTTTTCTGATTTTTCTACTTTTGTCTTGAACTAATTTCTTTATTCCTTTTTTCAGTCTAGTTCATTTACCAAGTACCATGTACTATTGGATTCATTAATTTGATGCTCATGCAATCTATTTGCTCTTTTATCTTCAAAGTCAATACTTTGAATGAGAATTTGATTTAACAAAAATAGTGAATGTGTTACTTCCCATCAATTAAAACTTTGCTAATTAGAAACAGTAGAAAGCCTACTCAATCTTGGATTTAAAACTCTCAGTTAGTTTATCTAAATAAGAATCTCATCAAAAAACTCAATTTTCATTTCAAAAGACAAACAAAATTCAAGTTAAAATCACATTTCATCCCAGTACTATTGACCAAGGTCTCTCTCCTACTCCTCATGAGAAAGAGTTCCACTAATTGTTGTTTTGTTGACATTTTCTCAATATGTAATTTATTGGTTGCCATTTGTTATGGTTACAGAATAATGATGACACTGCTTACAAGAAAATCTCCTTCCCTCTTCCATAGCGGTGACAATTATCACAATGACTGATGATGTTCCGTCTGTCTATTAGTCCACATCAAGGGGATAACTTAGATCAGAATAGGACAACTGAAGGGGTTAACATTGTGTTAATTAGCCAATCTATATACATCTTTTTGTGTGAAATAAAATAGAAAACCGTTCTTCAATTGAAGCCTATGATCACCAAAAGAATTCTTTTTTTCCCCCGATTCCCATTTATCCATCATGAAATTGTTTGACATAATTACGGTATACAGATATAGCAAACAATCTGATCTTAGGCCTCGGACAAAGACCATAAGCATTAGAATTTCTTTGATCATATTTTTCCATATCAATTTTATCGGAGCACTTCATATCATAAGATATATGGAATCAGTCTGAGAGTCCGGATTTGCCTGGGATGAACGCGGAGGACTTATTGATGTCGAAGCTCCAGAAGACGTCTGAAGGAGGCATTGGAATAAGAGACGTTGTCGTTATTGTGTTTGTAGATGATGGATTGAAGAACCAATCCAGCCTCACAGTAATAGATTCCAGCCAATCAAATTTAGATCAGATGACCCTATATGTTACCAATGACAACTGTCTGTCTGTTCATCTGTACATGTTTTTTCATGGTCATTTTACAGACAGCTGGGAAATAAATTGCTTAATTGAAAACCAATGCATAGAAAATTAATATCAAACTTTTACAAAACTCAATATGCAGTATTCCATGCTTAATTATAATCTTCTATCATTTCATTAGAAACTGTCTAAAAGCTGCAGATGCAAACATAATGTATAAAAGAGTGTGTTTGAAAAAAGATATCTTTTTTAAAGAAATGACATATTATCTGGAACTGCTACTGCAATATCTGGAAAAAGGGTTCTTCAAAGCAGAAATTTCCATAGAACTTTTATTTTTTGTCAGAGTTTTCATCCATTTTATTCAAATTTTCCACAACTAACTGTTGTTTATGGAAGGAAACAAATCTCTTTACTATTCATATGCTGCAGTTTTTCATAATTAAAGAATCATCTTTCAAAGTGAACCTTCCAAGTTATATATCATATAGCAAACTTAATGAGTAAAAGCAGGAATGTGTATTCCATTTGTGAGGTTTGCACAACAAATATTAGCATTCATCCAGACAAATTCTGCATCAAATACTGACAAGTAACAAAAACTCTAATTTCCTCCGAGATCAATTTGTCTATATATATCAGAGCTGAAGCTCGAAGAGAAGTCACAATTCATTGTTTGATGTATGAATATATCTACATCCCCAATATGTCCAAAAATGGAAATATGACCAAAGTCATCATCTTATCTTCCTAATATGTACATCTCTCTATACACTGTGGTGGACAAACTAATCCTAATTAATCAATATCCCTATAACCCTATCTCCTCCAGTTCTGTAAACTAACTAAATGAATTGGAAGCTAAGATTATATGTAAGTGTTCACATGAATAACAGAAAATGTTCCCACTTGAATTAAGCCAATTGATATTTACATATCATATGCATTCATATTCAGATTTAAGTTTGTGAAGCACCATTTCTCCGAGTTAAAACTCTTGAAGACCAAATTGTTCCCATTATTGATATTTTTCCTCTGAATTTCCTGTTAATCAGATTGTACATGGTGTCTTCAATTCACTGTTTCACAGCTCAGTTGAACCTAAACAACTAATCATAGGGCAACACTGTTACAACTTCTCTCAGTTTAATCTATCATTTCACCTCAAGCTTTACAATATTACCAAAAAATTATATACAATATAACAAATTTTATTCAATCAAATCATAAAAGGTTAAGGAAGAGAGAGAGAGCATACAAATTATAGGATTTATCGAGGAGCAAAATGTCTTAGAACACAATAACTATTATATTCCTCAGTTTATTTTTTTTTTATCAAACACATTCAAAACAATAAATCTGACACATACTTAATGTTTGAAAACCTGTCAAGGTTTTAAAATCTGCAAACGATAGAAAATAGGCCAAATATTGGTGAATATATTGAAAAAATGTCTTTAAAAAATTATTACAGTTTGTTTTTTCTCAAACACAAAAGAATAAAGCTTTCCTAATCATTTCAAATGTTTGAAAACTAGTCCAGGTTCCAAAATCACCAAATGATAGTAAAGAGGCTAAGGCAAAAAATTGTAGAAAATGGCCACTTTGATAACTTGAATTGAAATACTTGTCAGTATTATGCAATGCTAGATGATGTTAATGCTTATTGATAAAGAAGACATGTATCCCATCATGCCTTACTCAGAAGGATAATGCAGTGAGTGGTTGGGACGGTAATATTATAGTCGTGACATTATATTGTAGGTTTTAATGCTGATTATTTTTCTCCTTTTCAGCTGATAATTATCACGGCTTTCTGTACAGACTAGAAGACGACTCCAAGTTGTTACCTATTTACGATTTAAACGGCTATCTGGCAGGAATACAAGCCATCGTAAGTGTTCACACCTTTCCCTTTTAGAAGACATAATTATCACAAAGAAATATTGCACATTTATTCTTCCAAGAGATTTCAAATACATGTATAAAACAATATAACTCAGAATCACACCAAAAAGCTTAAGATAATTTTTTTTTGGCTCCTCATTTGACAATGGCTGCATGGTCGATTAGATTTCCATTGATCGTGTCTTAATGATACATCAATGGTAAGGAATAGTCAGCTAATGGATGAGGGAAAAAAATCAGGGACGCAAAGCAAACATGCAATGGCAATGATGTCACATCCGAGCTTAGCAATTTCTGATGAAGCTTTATGTAACACTGGTCATAATTTAATTATATTAACAGATATTTCTAATATGACCCTTAAATGAGCATCAGACATGCAATCCATAATTAACCAGAACTAAGCCGGCACAGCATATCATTAGAGGACTAGTTTAGCCTGATTTACGAAGAAGTTTCGTAGACAGTGATGATTATTTATGAAGTAAAGGAAATGAGCTGAGGAGACAAATATTTTGGGGTTCAGGGCTAGCTGTTTCCACTGACCCTTAGAGAAGAAAAGTGATACACAGATGGATATTGCTAAATTAATTGTTGTTAACAATCTCTTTGAGTGTATTGAGGTAAACAATTATGAATTTACAAAGCCAGGTCAGATTCAAAGAAGTTTAATTATAACATGTAAACTTGTGTTATCAAAATTTTGATGCCCAATCATCTTTGGCTCAAAAATCATCATTTTCTTTGAGTTCACATTTAAAGAAAGACTTCCTCCACTTTACCATGTCTATAAAGTAAGGTCACTTATAAAAGTAGTGGTTTCTGAATATACCTTGAAAATGAACAAACTAGTAATTTAGCAGAAAGAGATAAAATTGGGCCTTTGAGTAATGACTTCTCTACAGCTCTGGGTTTACAGTGTACTTCCTGTGCCCAATTCCAAAAATAAAACTACCAAATATAATAGCAAACTCTTTTACAAAACTCAATACAATGTACAATTCTGTCTACAGACCAATCATGACCCTGCACCATCACTGTGCAATCAGACAATAGAAATACATGGAGCAGGACTTCTAATCGTCTCAATGATTACCAAATCCATTACAGTAATTAGAAAGATGACATTCCCAGAATGGTCTGATATTATACAGCTCCTGGGCACTTTTTATTGGAGCCTAGTGAGAAGGTCTCCATTACAATATACCATTAGCCATTTGTCGAGTTGGTGTTTCTTCCCATGGCCGCTTTTCTCTCATACCCTGAGCCAACGTCTTACTCTTTAAGACGCTGACACTGGGGTAAAATTAACACTTCTAAATGGCAAATTAACACTTCTTAAAATGGATCAGTTCTGTGGATGCCTCATTAAAGCTGTGGATATGCACCAAATTTGGCAATTCTCAATGTTAGGTTAATGCTACTAATGGACATATGGGGCCAAAAAGCTCATAAATGACCCATTATCACATCATAATTATCTCCCTTTACTCGGTCCATTTCAAAGTTCATCCATCAGGTTTTTTTTAATCTCCAACAATTATTCCCTCAAACCATTGATACCAGAAGGGGAAAAAACAAAGAAAATTAATCTTCCTTTCTGTTGCTGGAATTCGACAGATTTTTACTGGTAAATTTGATATGGAGAACACTTGTGATAAAGCCATTATAACTGTATCAGTTTTACCCAGCTGCATACAGCGCACTTGACCATCTCTTGACACTGAAGGCCTATTTAGTAACAAAAAGTTCAGATTTCTGGTGCTTATGCACTGAGATAGCAGGTGCTTGGAATCTCTCTCCCCTACATGTATATTGATATGATCATTTATCTTCCCTGCCACCCAAGGCCTGGTAAGTAATGAGGAGTCCCAGGGACAAGATTTACTCCATACATCACCAACCAGCTACCAATCAGGGACTAGGAAGCAGCCATCAGTAATGGTCTCTGTCATCCAAGATCTTACTGGTATCCTCAGAGAAACCTAGGTTTTTTTTCTCATTTTCAGAAAAATATTTGTACAACTCTTTCTCCTGAGTAGCAGCTTTATGTTCTAATTAACCTAGAAACCACTTACAATGATTGGCAAAAAATCTCAGTAAAAGGACACTTCATCTATTTTTCATTCCTCTATATTCTGAAGTGATAATGAAACACCTCTTCTGTTGTGAAGTTTTGTCCTCTGTCTTATCCTGAGATTCGGCCCCGCTGTGTTTTGTCATCACTTCTTCACACAGTGTATTCCCACAGAATGATAGAAATAAGTTAATCTCAACATCTACCTCAAGCAGAAACAAATAAATGTGTTGACATCTCTACAGGATGACAGAGAAATCTCCTGAGAAAAAAAATTGTCATCTTCTTTTATAGACAAGAGGTACTCTTCCTTCTGGACTTAACTTTAAACAGGATTTTTTTTTAGGTGGTCAAATTAATTAGTGGTGTCCAATAAAAAGGACTGGATCTAAGTTGCTAAATTAAATAAATTTCTTTTAATCATTTTTATTTTACAACATGAATTCATATTTTTGAATCCTGTCCCAAAATTTGATGGATATTTTAAAGGGAAATTATTGCATATTAACATATGTTAGAATGCAAGAAGTGTTTTCTTGAAACAGAACTTTTTTCTAATCGAAAAAAGAATCTTTTCAAGTTAAAAAAAAATTGTAGTGCTTATCAGAATTTTATGATAACTTCATTTCTTTTTACTGCTCTCATAAAAATGCTGTAATAACATTTTATTCATTCAGCAGAAAATAACGAAGCTAATTTTCAGTTTACGTCAAATCAAATTGCACTAAAAAAACATTTATCTATCCCAATAATGATTTCAAGAAATAATTTGAAAATGCCACAGCCTTAGCAGCATGCAGTGTAATTTGATGACTGACATAAAATATTTGATTTCTCCTTGGTAAATCTGACAATAATGTGATAGAATTTGTTCCAGATCCAGTCAGACATGAAAGGCTACAACTCCCTGAATGAAACCATAATGTTACCACCTCATGAAATCATGCCTCCGGTTTTAATAGGAAAATCCGACATCCAAACATATACTATCACAGGTAAGCAAACCAACATCCAGAATCACACAATCAAATTTCCATAATCCAATATCCAACATCATACTATCAAAATGCATAATTCAACATCCAAAATCATACCATCAAAGGTGCATAATTCAACATACATAATCATACAATAAAAGGTGCGCAATCCAACATCCAAAATCCCACCATCAAAGGTGCACAATCCAAAATCATAGGTGCATAATCCAACATCTTATCAAAGATGCATAATCCTATATCCAAAATTAAAAGGTTTAATTAAAACACACCATCAAACTTGCACAATCCAATATCCAAACCTACTTTTGGATATTTATATAAACCTAAAGTTCACTGGTAAACAATACCCCACCAAAGGCACAAAATCTGACGTCCAAACTAACGTAATCACAGTTGACACAAGTATACAACCTATGAGCCATAAACTATTAAAGGAAAAAAATTTAACATCCAAAATCATATGACAAAGGTGCGAAATCTGATATCTAAAGCTACAATATCAAAGATGAACATTTTGATATCCAAACCTACTTTTTTCACAAGCAATTAATCTGCTCTCTCTATAATCCTAAATTATCACAGGTGAACAATCTGATATCTAAACCTAAATTAACGCAAGTGAACAGTCTGAAATCTAATCCTGAATTATCAAAGGTGAACAATCTAATATCTAAACCTAAATTATCTCAAATCAACATCCAAAACTTCATTATCAAAAGTTAAGTCAAAGCCAATTCTTTGATCCTCATTCTTTTGTATTTTGTACTTTAGCTTATTTCAAACATCCTCAGCACCTCTGCAGTCCGATTCACCATAGCAACGTGCCTGCAGGAAAGGGACTGTATCTACAGACAGGATACGACCCCATCCGCAACTATGAACAAATTCCTATGGAGGCAAAGAACCTCTCCTCATTATGGAAGAAAGCTATCTGTTTACCAACAATGGGTAATTATTCTCCCTTTCTGATAAACTTGCTTTTCTGATATTTCTTTTGAGAATTTCATGAATTGTCACAGCAGCCTGTAGCTGAGTCCTCAACAGAGAATAGTTTTGTATCTTTTCCCAGAAGGACTTAGAAGAAACAGTATAGTTATTTCTAACAGCATGGAAATTGGCTGGCACGGAGATTTTTCATGTTTTTTTCTTTTCATTCATTATTTGCATTGTCAGGTACCAGAGCTTTCCTCTTTGCGAGCTTATCAACAGTCACCCTTTTAATTGTTGGACAACTCCCCGCTATAATCAGCAAATATCCCTGAAATTTCTACCTTAAGCATGATGAATGTAATATTAGCACGACAACATATTACCATAAATCTAACTTTATGTGGGGTTGTGAACATTTTTATGATTATTGGGTGGAACATGCAGTGAAAAAAAATAAACCAAGATAACTACTGCAAGCTTATGATGGTGTGGGATAGCAGGTTTGTTTCTGGCCCTGGAAGTGCTATATTTAAAATTTATATATATGATTAATAGCTTGGGTAAATTGTGAACAGCTACCTGTATCTGTCTTCACTCAACCTTTTTCTTCCTGAGTTATAACATCAATACTAACAACCATATTCTCTTGGAGAGACGAGACCGTTGCTATGACAATTGTCATTTTTCCTCAGATGACTCGGATAGTAATCGAAGAGCCTGCAAGTAAAAACAAAACATATTTAATTAACTCAATTTTTCAACTAAATTTTGAGGATGAATTTATTAAGCTTATTCCATGTACATTTTAATATCAAATTATAATTTCAAAGGTAATTTTTTTTACTCATGAAGTAAATTGCAGCAGATTTTTTAAAGAAGCCTTAAATTGATTTTTGAACTTTCAAAAGAAAAACTCTTGAGTCACATTGCAGTAAATTTAAATGAATAGAAATCCTGAGTTATCCCGTATCAGGGGTTCATTAAGGTGAAATCACAATGGACTTTGTTATTGATTCTCTATTTTACTATTGATGATTATCTTTTAATAAAACCAAAGCAAACGGTAGTGGCTATAACGATGATTGAGTTTACGCTATAGTTTACAAGTTGTTAGGACCAGCAGATCAGCCCTACACTCAATTAGTGATCCCGATCCGATCGGACGACAAAGAAACGGCAGATTTCACCTTGTTTCTCCCGCGCGATACACTAATGACCCGAGATTTGACTCATAATGACACATTCGTAATAATATCGATATCCATCGGTAACATGTGCATGTTCATACAAAGGCTCAATTAATTTTTGATACTCACACTATAAAGCACTTTTATTTTTTTATATGCTCAATGTAACAGTAATGGAATTTTTTATGGGAGATTGCTGCTATTTAATGAAGGAGAATGACATGGGTCTGTTTTAGGAAACAAGTGCACATTTTACTGTTATGTAAATGCAAATCAACATAAAAGAAAAACATGACATTTCTACATTAATACTTCTATGTAAATGCAAATCAACATACAGGAAAAATGTCATTTATACATGTTGTTTTAAATCCATTCTTGTCACTTCAAAAGGTCTCAAATTAAAGTTTTAAGAAGACAATTCAGTAAATGAATCTACCAAATGAGCTACATGAGTTCATCAGTTTTATCTACCTACTGATCTTCTCAGAGTACAATATCTATTGAAGGCGAACCTTGGACTATACTTGGATTCCATTTACCTTTCGTTTCAGATTCCTACGCCACGCTACCTGCATAAAATCCAGATCAAAGGAGGAAAGACAATTAATATGCATGAGAATTACCTTGTTTCTTTTTTCAGAAGGAGAGCCAGACTTTGATCCTTCTTTTCTGCAGTTTTACCTGTAATCAAATTAAAAATTTAATATTAATTAAGATTGACATCAAATTTATTACCATAAGTACTCTCTTCATCTTAGCTACAATATAATGTATTCCATTTACTCAGGGAATTTGAAGTGTCTGTCTAGTAATGGTTCAATAGGAATTAATTTCTAAAAAATTTCAATAGAGATAACACACAAGGTCTAAAAGATTTCCAGAAACTTTAAACCGTCATCAAAGTATTCTCCTTCCTTTCATCATGAGCTTCTCTGGTATCATCCAATAATGTACGATACAATTTGTTATTTATAGAGATGCTGTTTCATGAGGGTCTTTTTTTTCCCAGGTACCCATTATTTTTTCAATGTGTCGCGTGACATGCAGTGTGAGAGACTATACCCCGTATTTCTGATGTACGATAGCGAGGGGAAACTGGGAGCATTTGGATGGACCTTCCAAGGACAGCCATACGAAGGCCCTAATTCTATCCTGGACTGGTATCAACTCCAACCGAAAACTTTTTATGTAAGTTTTGTTGTCAAGAAATATAACACTTTCTTTTTAAATGCAAAATGAATCAAAACAAGGACTTTATTGTCGCTTTTTAGATGAATGAAAATGCCAACAGACTAATTGATGTGCATTTCATTCCAGTTTATATTTGATGTGAACCAGCTACCACCATGCATGCTCAACCCGAATTTCCGCGTGTTTGGAATTCACATTTGGCTTCAGAGCCACAACAAGACAACCATGCGGTGTACACCGTCAGCCACACCGGTGCCACAGAAAACCACCACCGTAACTTACGAGGAGAAACGACGGAACGGTGGTGATAACCCTGGCGACAAAGTCAATTTTGGCAAAAATCCAGGATCCAATATTATCCAACCTCCTCAACCCAAAAAGAATTCGGGGATAAACTCTGCCACAAAAGACACATGTAGCATGTGCTTGTTTTTATTTGTGTGTATTTTACGGACAATTTTATCAAATATTATTGCATCAAATGTATAGCATAAGTATCTACATTTAATATGAGTTTATGTTTTATTTTTCAATCTAAGTTTTAAAAACATAAAATAAAACCCTGCTCAATATAAAAGTGTTACACAGAATTTGCTAAAAAGCCTACCTGCTAGGGGTTGAATCTGATTTATTATCAGAAAACTTAACACGTAATTCCACTGTCTATGTACAGAAGTTTGCATTCTAGATCATTAAACAATAAGCAGTTTATCTAAACATAAAAGACTTTCTATCAAATCATTTTTTTGATGGAATAAATCAAAGCTGTAACTTTCAGGAGGAAAGTTATCCTTGGAACTTGTCAGCTATGTAGTTTCATTAAAACTTAATTTTAAACAATTTTTGACTCCTTGTTTCTCATATTGATATTATATATAATAGATAAATTATATAATAAAGTCTAAAAAGACATGAAATCTCCATAAAAGTTGTGGCTGACTTAAAACCAATAGGCAAGGTCTGAGTTTCTATTAGTGTGACTGTCAACTCTGAAACTGGTTAAAAATCATACAGCTCATATAAACTGTACATTTTACAATACTTTATGTTAAATACATTTGTGAGAGTTTTTTTTTCTTCTTTATAACCTGTGTAACATCTTAATGTATATGATGACATGAGAATATCATGAGTGACGAAGCTGTGATATTAGTTTGTAGATTTTTCATAGAACTGAGCTAAGGGGCATAACCCTTATCTTCTCAAACAGCACTGCTAGCTCTGCAAACACTTTTCAGCAAATATTTTGAAGTAGCTTTTTTATTTCCATTTTAATTTTTTGTTTTAGGAAGTTTTAACTTCGATATATTTTCTGGGGTACTGCACATGTTTTATCATTTTTTTAAGGGGACATTTTGAAGTAGGTACCCACACATCATCATCATAAAATTACACTCATACTTACCATCAGTGGTGCTCTGTATTGCAGCACAGTATCTTCATCTCCAATGACTATGTCTGATTCTTCTTTAATGTGTGTTGTTCTTTTCTATAATGTTCCTGTACAATTGTAAACATATTCAAAATTTCAATTTGGTGCATTTTTAGATAAAGTTACACATAATCATCATATGATTTCAAACAAGAACATTATTTTACTTTATGTGTCATTCCCTTATGTTTGAATTCCCTATTCCCCATCTTTATCTTCATTCCATGTCTCCCCTGTGTACACTACTTCTTCAGTAATTTTTTTTTTCATGTTATTCATAAATGCAACAATGATTTTATCATCTAGGTGTGCTTATTTTCACTTTCAAATGCACCTCTCTGCAAATTCCTAGAACCAGACTCAAGCCTTATATTTGTATCTGTACATATATTGTCTGTTTTTTGTGAGTGAGATTTGTTGATATGTTAATTAATTTACAGAGAGAATGTGTGTCCTTATGTGAAAACAGTGAGGTTGTCAACTTGTCATTATATGCTCATGTACAACTAAATGTTTATATGTTTTGTGATAACATTTTTGAATCTCTTATAGTGTAAATGAGTGTGAAATTCATTGTAAAACGTTGGTGTGTGCGATTTGTACTTTGAGTTTCTACCGAGTTGCGTGAGTTTACCATGGACAGACATTGTTGATATAAACTGATGTGATCAGATTTATCAATAATTACCTCTTTTTTTTAATCATCTGTAAATTAATTTTGAACTTGACTGGGTGTTTGAAAAGCTTACAAGAAGTCCTAAAAGTATGTAAGGTTTTGTTCATTTTATCTTTAAAACAAAAATTATGAAATAAATTTAATGCTAAGCTAACAAGATGTTGTGTTCTTGGTTTATGAGGAAGAGCTGCAGTCTATTGCTGTGGCTGTTTGTCTCTAAGTACGAAAACAAGACAAACACTAAGGAACTTTTGAATTTTTAGGAAAAACCATGGAGGATCAAGAATTTGGTGGATGGAGGTAAGGAAAAAGGAGAGGATATTTATATTTATGCAGAAATTTTTCCTCATAAACTATTTTATTCATCATGAAGTATATTAAATGGCACAGTGGTTTGAGCATCTGCTCAAGAGTGTCAGAGTAAGGAGTTGATCTTTACGTCATGGGTTCAAGTCCCACTGTGGGACAAGGACCACAAGACCTTGGGATGAGACCATATAAACCAAGAACCCATGTCACAGTAGGTGCTGGCATGAAATAGATCCCTTATGGCCCTGGGTGCTGGGCATACATCAAAATTTGCAGCTCTCCACCAGCAAATGGTGGCATCTCCATATAAGTGACAAAATCTTGAGAGGGACATTCAACAACAAACAAATAAAGCTAGCATACCTAATGTAATGGTAAACTTTGAATAGCAAAAATATACGCAATCAAAAATTAGGAATCTCAATCACCACAATAAACTCTTCAAGTATGTCTGACCAATTGATTGTTCTTATAGCATACCTTGATGAGTTATTTTCTATAAAGAACATCTTCATCCCTAATTTTTGTTGAACAAAGAGACATCCCTCAAAGAAGGCTGGTTAACCTCCGTCTCATTATTCCAACCTTGAGAATGGCATGTCAGATTTATTTCCCAGCAAAATGCATGTTTGCCAAAACATCTGAAATTGAAAATGAAAGTAAAAGTTGGAAATTTCCCAATATCAGAGTTAGACATACATCATACAACTCAGTTCTTTCCTTTTATAAAATATCTTAGTATTGAAATTGATTTTCAAAACAGGATTTATTCTTATACATTTAGCATCCTTCTCTTAACTGACTTTCCTATTTTACTTAGAGTTTAATTGTTTAAATTTAAGATGCCACTGCACTTATTTCTTCACCTACCATTTATTAAAGTAATTAAAAGTATGTTTCCAGATGCAACACCTTTGCACGATTGGTCCACATAGACTTCTTGATACTTTGGAATGAGTCCGAATGTATAACTTGAAATAGTTTAATCATCCATATACAGATGCTGCATCAAAATCCAGAGAATGTTGCGTAGTGTGCATGTTTGGTTCAGCTATGTTTTTTTTTTGTTTAATGATACATAAAAAGTAGGACAGATGCAGCACCAGAGAAGCAGGTTTGGTCTAGTTATGGCTTACAGATACTTGGAACAGAATAATTGCTTAATCTCTAACTGCAACACTGTTACTTGGAGTATAGCATATATAAAGCTCAATTCCATTCTGTAGAATTGAGCTAAAATTCACTCCATGCTTTAATATGTTTAAATATAATTTATTATATGTAACTGCTAAGTAAGTAGTAAACGAACTCTTCAAAGCCTCTGATACACCAACTGAAAACGGCAGCTCATTAAGGTTTTTTTTTTTTTATCAAACTAATGAAATATATGGAGAAAGTTATCACTATTCACGCTTTTCAAATGTGCATTATATAAACTTTATACACACAGCATTTAGCAAACAGGGACCTCAAAAAGATCAGAGGTGGAAGGATCAGGTGTCATAGAGGAGTGAGCATCCCCTGCCAACTGGTCACACTCACCATGTGCTCTTTGTCATGATCAGGGAAATATGGAAAAAGCCATTGTCAATTCAGTGTGTAAATAATAAACAAACAATAAGTATGAAAATCGTCAGTCAGCATTTGACTCATAATAAATTGTATTTGCTGACAATGTCATTGTATTGACCATAGAACTTACGAAATGATGACTTTAAACAACATGCTGATTTTCTTGCTTCATCAACTTGATTTTCAATAACTTATCTCATTTTAGAAATTGTTCGTACGTAGAACATTCCCTTCCGTATGGAATCAACTGAGAGATATTTAACATGGACATTCCTGATTCATGAAAGAGCTGATCTAAAGTGAAAATAACCTTATATAGTTAAATGTTCTTTTCTATTTTTTTTTTTTTTTTTGGTGGAAAACCTTGCTTAATGAACAAGAGAATGACAAACTCAAGGGTGAATATCACTCAAAACACACAGTTATAATTTTATTCCTTTGATGAATGCTTACCCTACATGGCTGATTGAAATCTCCTTAATTCCTCCCTTTCCTTAGCCTTGACACAGTAGTCATAATTTCCCCTTTGTACCACAGGTAACTCTGGATCTCAGCAACAACTGAAGTACAGCTTCCTTTATGTCTGTTGTCTTCAGGGAATCTAAACACAAAGTACTTACCTGTCTCCACCTGCTAAATAATCTTAATCTAGTTATACAGGTACAGAAAAACAAATGTAAACAGTAAACTGTCACAGCACTGGCTTATACTTTTACAATTTCCTCAGTCTCAACCTGTAAATTGTCCAGCTCTGTGTGCCACGACAGAGTTGGCTCAACACAGGTCTCAACTGTTCTACTTTTTTATGACCAATTAAACAAAGCTTGAATTGAAGCTATAAAAGATAAACAAATCTTCCATCAGAGTTCTGGTTCCGCCGGTGTGTGACCCTACTGTTGAGCATTGTGAGACTACCTACAGTATATAGGTACAGCGTACGCACCTTCTGTCTGGTCAGGCTGTTGTACAGCTTCAGTCTCGGCACCTCCGTCCCCTCCGGAACTTTCCAAGGTGGCTGAACTTTCTTAGATTTGGCTGAAAAAAATATACAAATGATACATGAGCTGGAAAAAAAGCTTGAAAATATGCAAAAAGCAACTTAATTTACCATGAGATTAACAAATGTAAAAGTGTTTTGAGTAAAATAAATTCAGTGTGTAACAAGACATTGACTAAGCAACAAGAACAGATAAAACAAGACCTTCGAAAATTTCAATCTTTCTTTCTATAATTACTGATTGCTAAAATTTCTAAGCTGTAGTTTTTTGCCATCTTATGAATCATCCATACTCACTAGTCATGTTACTCTGTTGCTCTCTCCGACTGGTAGGGGGATAGCAAGATGCTGAACGGCGGAAAAATCGGGAACAACTCAAGATGTCCTCAGTATTAGCTGATTTCCTTAATAACACACCAAACACTGATCTAATAATGGCCATTCAGTGCCATTCTGGAAAAAAAAGCAGAGATACACAAGTATTGACCACAACAGGTGTAAGTTTGAATTTGGCTTATTGTGTGTATGTTTAGGGGTGAAGGGGATGATGGTTGGAGCTAAAGGATAACTTCAGTATTAGCTCTTAAAATGGAACTTATTAATTGCCTCCAGGATAAATTATATTACCAGTAATATACCCCTGATACATAATTATCATGCACTCTGCAATGATAAATTGCAATGTCATTTAGTACTTGTTAGAAAACTAAAGAAAGAAAACAAACTTTTTTTTAAGTAATCATTTAGGAATATAAGGAATATAAACCAAAATTACATGGTTTGTTTTGTTTTTTGTTTTTGAGAAAAAAAATGAATAACAACCAAAATAAATCAGACTGCATTTAGAAAATATTTTGTAAAAATGAAATTTAATATCCTTTTGCTGACCATAAAATATGCATTTTAAAAATTACTTGGGTGAAATATAACATATATAATTACATATCCTTTTGCTGAAGACAATTTTACAGTATATAATACAAAGAATAAATTATATTTATATGTATATATATCCATCCATAAACAGTTCTCAATTTTTCTGTTGCTTAAATACCATTTACATTTAGTGTGAAAGTATAAAATCACATCACTAAAATTGCAGATTTTTTTGTTTTTAACATTGTTTATCAAGTATAAATATTTATTAACCTACCTGAAAATTATAATTTCCTTGAGCAAGTAAACAGTATATATTGTGGAAAAAATATCAACAATAAATGTCTGCTTTTCCAAGTAAAAACCAACTAACTTAAGACCTGTTTAGAAAACAAATGATTTGAATGTCTTGGGGAGTTACAATTTATACTGAAAGAATATAATTGTGACTGACATCAATATTTTTTCTAGGAATACTGTAAACATGATGCAACAATGGACAATACACGGAAAGTGAAAGTAAAACCTGGAAAACACAAAAGTCATGGGAAAAGGGGCTGATTTGTCTTTAATTCAATAAACAAGGTTGAATGTGACAAACAGAAAGTAAGGTACACTTAATTAGTTGTATCTTAAAACAAGGACATTTAAATTCTTAAGATCATGTGTCAACTAGTTGTAGTTCACTCAGGTCACCATTAGAATCATTCTTTTTAAAGAAAAAAATATATATGTACTAAACAATCAACTTATAAAACTATAAATGCACCAAGCTGACCTTAATAGTAAATACACCTTTCTCTCTTTGCATGTATTTTACAAAATACATAATTAACATCTTTTAATTCACATATGTTCTCTGCATTCCTTCAAATTTAAAATAATTAAGGTTGACATTCAGACTAAAGCTTTATGGAAGGACTGCTTTTATTACACATTAGATGCATAAGCATTTATTTAAACACTGTATTTCAAAAACTTGAGATGCAGATGCATATGCAGTTACATCAAAGTAATATTGCAATATTTCATATCAATTAATTAAGTATTTTGGGGGTTTTTTTATATTAAAACTAATTTGTCATCAAGTAATAGAGAGATATCAGCAATTTTTCTATAAGATAACCATCCTTATAATTCAAGTACCTAGTTAAAAATTCTGAAAGAAAATCATTCAGAAAACTTTTGTGGGAACAGAAAGTGAAACTATTCTGCTAAAAACTTCATTCAAGCTAAGTTGAAACCATTGAAACATGAATATACCTACATAAATTGACAAGTATAATTCTTTTAACTGAAATGAACACAAGCGTGAATAAAGTCCGTGTTTGGTATAGAAGTCTTACCGCTAAATATCTATTGAATTTGGAATATGGTGATGCAAGAAATGTGATCAAGAACACATGGACCAACAACTTCCGGTTTGTTTCACGCGTGTTTTAAGCCCCTTTAGGCCAACTATGCCCTTTTAAACTTAGCATATGCCTTCACGATTATTAAACTGGTTAGATTTTAATCGTAAAATATAATTTGATATGAAAACATTCAATCAGATTATCAAGTTTTAGTGTATTATTCACCTAACAGACTAACACATCGATGAGGTTGTTGGCGGAAGTAGGTAACCCTCGTTTTGAGTCTCGCTGGAAGCACGAGAAGGCATGAGTACGCCGGTGTTCATAGATTTGCCTATTCCTGAACAGGTATCAAAGGATTCTCAGCATAATGTTCTATTTTATTTTAGCACAATATATGGTCAATCTTTTTACCCTAAATTTTTATAACATTTCCCTCTAAAGATAGCTTAAAATCCAAAACATCTGGCTGTACACAACTCGAGTTTCCTCGATTATGAATATAGGTCTGTATAACACATAGAGAAAAAGGGAGTGATGCCAATCAATCCATGAATTAAGGAGAAATTTAATACAGTACTTCTACATTTTTTACTTGCTACAAATTGATCTACCATGATGAGATTTTCAAAATTGTTCATTGTTTATTCATTTGAATTATAGTAATGAACTAAATGAAGAATCACACCCCACCCCCCTTTTCTGTATTTTACAGACATATATTCTTTATCGAGGAAATTCAAGTTCCAGCTAGAGACTGAGTGAAATGGAGGGGCACTGCAACCCGCCCTCTAATCAGTGCCCCCCCCCTCCCCCCCCCACACACACACACAAGCACCACTGAATGATTATATTATAGAACATTATTTTTTCAGGCTCAGGAATTAAGAAGTTATCTCAAATCATTGAGTGCTGATATCTCGGAAGAAAAGGCAGAAGCAGGAATTCTCACAGATTTAAGACACATCATTGAAGCAAGCAACATATGCTGGAATTCCAAAGATGTATCTGATGCAGGTATAAAGTTTTAAAACCTCATAATTTCTTGTAATTGGTTTTGTGCATGCATGGTTATATATACTGTAGTGCATTAAAAAATATATAACAAATGCAACTAAGTAAAAATATATGAACATTTAACTGATAGAATGGTATAAATTTCTTTTAGTTTATGAAACTGACAATGAATCATTTTCTTTGCAGATATTGAAATGGTGTTCAACAGTGTAATTTCACTGATCCTGGTTCTGCCGCCAGAGGAAATGCTTGAACCTGTGACACATTTCTGTGAGAAAGTCGTCAAATGTCCGCAGGGAGACAGAAGGGGGGCTCTACGATTAAAATTGTAAGTACCGTAATTTTCGGGTTATAGGTCGATGGGGTATATAGGTCGAAAGGCTCATTTTCAGCCTTAATTTTTGAAAAATCCTAAGATAGGACGAACTTACTATATAGGACGAGGCTTTGTTTCCCGTTTTCTAAAGTTTCTCACGCAGATACAACGTATCAGAACAGGTAAACCTCTAAAATTACCGGGGCAATTCCGTGACATGAACGTATCAAGAAAACAAACAGGTATTTTAATGAGTACAGCATTTAAATAAAGTTTTTAAAAAAATGTAGTTAAAACTTCTTTGAATTGTGTTACTACTTTTTTTTCTCCAACTTGCCTGTTCAATGTCTCCATAGTTTCATACTGTTGTTAAACCAGAAGCAAAAATAACACGTAAATACGTTTCTTATTTTAAGCTATAATTCGGGAAATACCCGAGATCAAAGAATAATAATTCTGATTTCAGAACAACTTGGACACATTCCTAATATAGTTTATTCAGTTAGTTATTTACCGGTGGACGACAATTGCTTCGATGTCCGCCGTTTTCATTTTTCTTCTTCAGGGATTTGCTAAAACCCGCAAACGACCATTGAATGTATATATAAAGCAACAGTAAAGAATTGAAATAATATTACCACGCTGAAAGTTTAATTTATAAATTTAATCGAGAGTACCGGTACATCCACAATTTGACAGTCATTATGAATTTCATGGCTTTGTTTGTTCAATGATGTGTAACACTAATACCCTATAACGGCACTGCGGGTATTAAACCAACACAGGTGTTGAAACCTTTGCGTGTACACACAGTGTAAATCCTTTTATCTGTCAGACAATTAAAATTCGTTAGAAGCCAATCTTTGTATAGCGGTAATTCAGTGTACTTCTTGTGTACGAAGAAGCTTTTGATAAACCTTATTATATCAGTTAAAATTATATTTCTGTCCTAAATCATATTTCTGTAACCTGCATTTATTACTAATTCTTTGCTTGTAAAACTCCATATCAATAAAATTAATTTTTTATCATCCGCATTTATATTTCCATAATTGCTTGTAAAACTTCAAACTATCTTTCAAAACGATTTTTAGGAATTGACTGGCAACAATTTATTTCACTCATTTTACATTAAAATAAATATAAGACTTTTACAATAAAAAAATTAATACTATTTCAATTTATCAATCTACTAATTAATGGTAAAACACTACACTTGAGATCTTGAAAATTTTTCCGTATTTTAAATTTTGATACGGTTGCGGTTTTACTTTTAGTAAACGATAGCGACTTCCTAACTTCACAAGATGGCTACCGCATGATGGCAATGGATAACAAGTTGAGGAATTATTAACTTGATGAAGCACAGTTTTTTCCTTTGACTGTCATCAAGGGATATTTAATGGAATTTATTTTGTAAGAAAGCTATAGAATAAATATTTTATTGTTTACCTAGGCATTAATTTTTCTGCGTAAAATAATGAAAAAAGTTATAAAAGTGGCACAGATTTGCTCTGAAATTTACGTAAATTTTATTGATTTTGGGGCATTTTTCGTAAACTTGAGCCTAAGAAAGGTCGAATTCGTATATTGGGCGACCCCAGCGGTTCTGAGAAAAAAAGTATCGACCTATAACCCGAAAATTACGGTACTGTTATTTTAGCAGAATATGGAATCTGTAAATAAGAAAATATCTGTTTCTTTAACCTAAATTAGAATAAACAAGATATTTAAATTAAAATTGAATTTTCTTAATCCTTTGCTGCTTCTGGTACATCTAAAAACATTGTATTTGGGCATCAATCTGATCTAACCTTGTATGGGAAGGTCTGAGAGGTTTGGAAAGCAGTAGTTGATTTAAAACATTTGAATTTAAACAGATTGAATAGTTATAAACACATTAGTGAAACATTTTGCAGTGTTAGGAGAATTAGGTGGATTTACACTGGATTAATTAGTGTTTTTTTATTACAGGTTATCTAACTTATTTTACGGACTTGATGAGAGGTCTCCATTGAGAGCTGATTTGTATGTTTCCATGGTGAAATTAGCGCAACAAGCAGATCTGACACAGCAACTAGCCATCGACTTAGAACAGGTACCATAGATACTTACATGTATAAGCCAATCATTAGGCCTAGAAAAAAAATATGTTTGTTTCCGCTTTCCCGACCGACCCTAATTTATAGTGCGGACCCTAAATATTTTTTTAATGCTTTTGTCCCATGATGTGCAAGATTTCAACCAGGGAATTATAGCCTCCAACTTTGCAAGCTTTTCAAGACAGAAAGAAGTTTGGGTCACCTTTCTATTACAAGTTAAAGCACAGTGATGCTTGAAAACACCATTTCTTTTGTCATTAATGTTACTTCTATACATGTTTTGATAAAAGAAGCAAAAAAATTTTTTTCAAAAAAAAAAAAAAATTGCCTACCTACCTACCCTATATTTTTTCAGCCTGAAAGCAGAAACAAACATATTTTTTTTCTAGGCCTTATTAGAATGTAAAACGTAGAACAGGTCATTGTCAGAACATAAAATGTTTCACGATCTCTCGAGGTTTTGCATTTGAATTTTGTTGACTGCAAGCATCTTTGTATTTGTATGTGAATTCTAAGTTAAAAGCACAGAAGTTCTGTTGAACAATTGATCTTAGTACATGAACTTGAAGTCATTTAAAATTAAAACATGACTATTTTTATAGATTTAAATAGAACAAACAGATCACCAACACATCGTAAATTTATTT